AATCTGGATCCGTATTTTTAGCAGGAAAAATGTATCACTTGGAATATCGAAACAGGCAAAATAAATCTTGTACCAGCTTCCAATGGCTGATGTCTATGACTTGTGCTAAGAAAAATTTGTTAAAACCATTCATATCAGGGTTCATAATCCAGACACTGTCCAATAAAGTGTCTTATTTTTGTTCTGCATTCCACAAGAGGGTTTGTGTGCAACACCTGGTTTTTATGAAGATATGTTATTAGCCACTAGACTTCAATAAGATGTAGTTGAAGTTTTTCAGACATTTTTCCCCTGCTACAAAATATCAACTGAGCAAAACTGAAAATCTTAATAAGGAACTTATTTTTCACATGGAATTTTCCATTTCCAGAAATTTATCAAAACAAAGCTTTAAATCCAATTTCTTCTCTTTGTTCTTAAGTTCTTACTTGTAACTTGAGATAAAATAGAAAAGATGAACATAAATACACCCAAAATTTAAAAATAAAGTCTTTGAATTTTCTTCTCAGGTTACTACTTACATTTGTTTGAGACCTAGATTTTTTTCCCAAAACTGAAAAGGGAAATTGTTTCAAAACCTCAAACAACTTCCAAGGTGCAGAGCTGGACTGGTAACAATACTAGTCAGTATATAGCTATATAGTACCTATTAGCATGAAATATTTACTAACTGTGGAAATATGTAAACCCATTGAAGGCACTTACTGCTGCACGTTGTAAATGATGTATTTCTGTAAATTATGTAAGAATATGTATTTCATTTAAGCTCAAAGCTGTTATTCTAGACTGTCTGAAATTGTACTGTAGATAATTAGTTGCACTTATTGACTGAGATATTGAGGAATCACAGTTATTGTAACTCTCCACAAAATGTAAGCCTGGCCTCCGCTAACGAAGGATTCTTCCCTGCACCATGCACCTCGCATCTCAAGCCTTTTGAGAGTTCCTTTCTAAGATTTAAATTTTCTTTTATAAAACTTTTCTGAGTCAATCAAGATTGTATATAGGAAGACTGTCAAATAAATTACTTTTCATTTCTGTCCACAGTTAAAGTCCTGCAGGGATCTGGAAATATAACAAGATCATTCGCCTTAATGCCTACAATACACACTGCTTTAAGGTGAAGTGAGTAGTAAAACAGCTTAATACATTAGCCCCTACTCTCGAGAGACCTGCAGGGTCCTGACAGTGCGCACACGTAACTCTTACGAACATTTCTGGAGCCTTGTGCACTGGAGTGGGACAGACTTTCTACCCAGCATGGGTCTGAATAAAACACACATGTTGATTTCTTTTTAATACCTGGTTTGGATACTCTGTTAGGACTGACTGGAAACCTAAGCAATGTGTATTTTTGCTGGAGGCCTACTACGAAGCAAATAAAACTATTGACTGAGCTGTGTATAGCTTACTACACTTTGAGGACAAGCACTCCCTTATTTCTCTACTGAAAATCCCTGTGTACGCACAAACAGGAGTAGAATTTGTCCCTGTGCTTAGTCTTTCCCAAGCTACCCATTTGCCTCATTTATTTATGATAAAATTTACCCTATTAATTTAAAAATCACCGATGAACATAAATGTGGAGAATTCACTTATGCTGATATGATAAAAAAAACTTAATGAGCTAATTAATCTGCTGAAGAGGCAGACAAAATATTCTATAAGCAGCTGGGGGAAGTCTCACAATCACTAGCCCTTATTCTCATGGGGGACTTCAACTTACCAGATGTCTGCTGGAAATACAATACAGCAGAGAAGAAACAGCCTAGGAGGTTCCTGGAGTGTGAGGAAGAGACCTTCGTGACACAGCTGGTGAGCGAGCCAACTAGGGAAGGCGCCCCGCTGGACCTGTTGT